AGGGTACACCTTTTTTTGGTAAAATTCCTCTCCTTCAATATGTACATATGCATAATTACTTAATTTCGGAAATTTTTACTATGAAATATGGGACTACTTGATATGGGAAAAAGAATTGGAAAGATGCTATTCGGTTGGTTGGTAGTTAGTGATCACGGAGGCGTCAACTACTGAGGTCATTAGTTCCATAACTGCAGTCCCGTAAGTGGCGCCTACCGGATAGCCAAGTACTTGACTACAAAAGTCTATGAACGGCAATACAGGAAAGTAAATGTAGACGGCTTCAATATTATTTAAGGGACCAATACAACCGCTTTCTGAGAACAGAGGGAGGTATGGAAGAAATATAGGGCACGTTCAAAGATATTATATACGCAGCCTCGCAAAAGTTTGTTCCGTGCAAAATTTTAAAGCACTTAATCTCAAATGTTCGGTTATTCGCAGACGATTGCATAATATATCGTTGTATGAATTCGAAAGAAGATGAAGAAATGCTGCGACAGGATCTTGATGCGTTATATTATGGGGCGGAAAATAATGAAATGGCCATAAATAACTCTAAAACAAATCCATCACTTTTGGCGAAGGTCTTAATTACATAGAAACAAATTACCATTTAAATAACGACATTATTCCGAGAGTTTCGTCATGCAAGTACCTAGCAATCCATTTCGATAGTAAATTAAGCTGGAAAAGACACGTAGATTTTGTTGTAGGGAAAGCCTGGAGATTTCTTCACTTTGTAATGAGCATCTTAAAAAAGAGTTCAGCGACCACGAAGGAATTTGCTTATTTATCGCTTGTTCGTCCGATAATGGAATATGGAACAATTTTTTTGGGATCTGCACAAAAGTATGCATTGTAAAAATTTGTAAAGGATTCAGCATAGGGCAGCTAAATTTACTTTCAGGGACAAGAAAACGGCAGGATGGGATTCTCTCGAAAACAGGCGAGGGAAACATTCTATATACAGGGAATCACAGGAGAAAACCACCGATCAGTAGCAAGACTGTGCACTTTGTATAATGCTTATAGTGGTAATCAAGCATAGAAAGAAATTAATCGGCGGCTAAGTATTCCTACATACATCAGCAGGGGGGATCACAGGCACAAAATAAATTTAAGACCGCAGAGGACGGATGTCGGGAAATATTCTTTCACAAATCGAACGACAACGGAATGGAATAGACTGCCTGCAAATACCTCTGAACCCTTTTCTCGAAACATTCAACAGTTCAGGAAATTAATTTAAGGTATTACTAAGTTAATGAGGGACTTAACTGAGTAGGTTATATAGCGATGCTTAAGTGATATATTGTGAAGTGAGGTGTGGTGGAGAGTAGAACAGAGAAATAATGAAGGAAGTGAATAAAGGGTCATAGTGAAGTGAAGTGAAGTGCAGTCTGGTCTGAATTGAACAAACATTCAGGGCGAAATGAGATTATAGAAGTTTATTTTTCAAAATAAAAGAAGGTAATTTAATGTTTTATGAATCAGCCAGTTTTATATCATTATTATTTTTAATATTAACTGTTTCTATGATTATTATTGTACCATTATTATTATAGTTATTATTATATAATTTGCATGTTTGCTTTATTATCTTATTTATGTAATTAGCTGACACCGGGTTATACTGACACATTTGCAGTTTAAATAAATTTATTATATTTTTATCTAGTTTTTTAAGCCCAGCAATTGAAAAAATCTGACAAAAATTGATAAGTGTTCTGAGAGGAAGTTTAAAGTTTTCTTTCGTGCCTAGACCGTTGTTCTAAGACGTAGTGAAACATTTCTTGTAAATTTGGATCCAACCTGTTTCTCTTCATGTCCCCATATGTCTCCCACTTATCCTTCATCTATGACCGAATTGTTTGCCAAAACTCGCCGTAAACTGCCAAAAACTCGTATTTCCCTAGCGTATCATATGTAAAGGATTATAAAGCTATATTCCAAAGTCAAAAAATTAATGGGTGCTATAACAAAGTATACAAATGTACAATAAACACTAAAATAAATGCACGAAACTGTTGCAGTCAATTTCAAGGTTTTTTAAAGTCTAAGTGATTTAAAGGCGGGAAAATGGTAAAAGTGTTTTATTTTATTTCTTTAACTGTAGCCCAGTAGTTGAAAAAACTTGAAAACAATTCACAACAATTTGTCTTTGGAGAGAAACTTTTGAGCTTTTCCGAACCTGTTCCAGGGTTCTAAGACACAGTAAAAAAATATATTATGTTTTTGCGTTTGCATTTGGCACTGAGAACTTATCGAAAAATGTTTTCTGATGGTATAAATTATTTTCTTATTTGTAATATGTTTTAATCTGATAAAATAATGTTAAGTTGACGAAAAATTTAAAATTAAATAAACACGTTTTTGGCTATTTACAGTATGGTTGGTGGAACTGTTGAGAAACCTCTCAAAAATATTATTTTTATGTTAGAGTTATAGTGTAACTACTAATGTGTCATTTGGCTACGGGGAACTTTTTATCATGTTATGCGGGGTACCCTTTAATCGCCAGCCACGTTTAAAACCATATTTGAGAAAATTTTGAAAATGTTCAGGCTTCATATAAAGAAGACCCAAAAATCAAAATATTCATTTCAAACTCACAGGGCCTAGAGTTTCTTTAAACTGATACAGGAATAACCAATTTTGAAGAAAATCAGTTGAACGGTTTTGGCGCTAGCGCTGAATGCAGACAGATACACATTTTACCGTCAAACAATTTTTCAATATCAAAGACTCACGAAACATGGATTCTGACTACACAACGTGTACGAGAAAGTAATTTACTACATATTAGTAAAATGTGGCGTCCCCGACGCTGCAAACTGTTTTAAACACAGTTTTATGTGTTGAAAATTTATTTCATACTTCATTTCATTCAGGCCCAGCTTTGTTTAAATCTTCTTTCAGTACGTGGCATTGAACTTACCCATGAATCGTAGTAGCTGATAATGATATACTCACGTGCTAAAGATCGAACACCCTATGGTCTTGTATCTTACCACGATACGGGATATGAACTGGTCTTATTGCATTTTCAAAATTATAAACGCCGTAACAAGCAGGTTTTGATGCCAATAGTTAAATTTTAGAACTGCTACGTTTTTAGGCTTTTTTGCTAATATGCACGAAAATGAACATAACACTTTTGCGTTAGCACAAATGCTAAATGCAGAAATGCAGAACGTTCCCAATTATTTCCGAAAATTCTCTCGCAGCATATTTTACAACTACATTTGATTCTTCCCCGGATTTCCTTAACACTTCCAGGTTTTTGTCCCCTAATTTTGAAGAGATTAAAACTTTACAAACTCATTATAATTTGAGTTCGCTTCTAATTCTGCAATTGCTCTATTAATTCTGCCACCATTCATCTGGTGACTCTGAGCAATGTCGCTCGCCTTCCACCAACGACGCCCGGGTTCGATTCCCGTTGCATCCTGGACAATATTATGTTAAATTTGTTCCCACAAAACCAGTTTAGCTGCTTCACAAGGGCTAGTCCGACCCCTGTGAAGTTTCTTAAACCCTATATCCTAATTTCTTCCCAATTCTGGCCACTGCGTAGTGACGCACGAAAGCGTAGAAGAAGGCGCGTACGCGGAGATCCTACCTGGCGGTCCTTCTGACAACTAACTACGACGAGACGTGACGATATTAATGGAGGCTTACTCCAAGCACAAACCGCTCAACGCCCCTGAAGGAGCTTGGAGAAACGTTGCTTCTATTGTATGCTGACCCAACAAATAAAAAAAAATGTTTTGTATGTGAATCTAGCATTGCATACAAATTTAACATCAAAAGGCGACTGTTTTGTATGTTTATATATACATTGGTACATCTGGTACATTTAGTAACGGCGAGAGAAGCAGTTTTATAGTGAATATGACTGGAAGCTATATTATTTATTTGTATCTTTCCTATACAAAAGTATGACTTGCATTACTATATATTTATCGGCTAGCAAAGTAACTGCTTATAAAGATACAATGCAAAGTGCATTATGTCGAAAGGATAGAAGCAAAGAAGTAATAGTACCCATGATAATTTCTCTCAAGGGCACGTTGAGCTATGGAAGGATTCAGGATTCTGGAACTTTTCGATGAACCTGGTTTGCGTGACTTCGACAGGAAAATTAAACGAAGATTCATTTACTGATAAATGTGAAAAAAAAAGTTGTCGATGAAACTAATCGCTTGCCGCAGAAATATATTGCCATTGAATGAATGCCGCTCAAATAATGAATCGTTTCTCGCTCCAGAACACCTTTCAGATACGCACGAACTTATACAAGATGTGATTAATTCATGTCTCCGCCAGAGGTTTGAGATTTTAAAAATATTAGACTGATAAAATTAAAGAAACTACGTGTGAGAGATTAAGTTGAAAGATTAAAAATAATGTGATCATATTGTTTAATTAAAAAGAAAATCATTTAATTCATTAAGGAAGAGGTAAAGTACCTCTCTTGACACCTGCAAATGCTAAGATAGCATTTAGTTAATTAACATGTTAATAAATTTCTTTTTGATGCGTTTTCAATTTCCAAATCAAAAATTGAATGGAAATCAAATAATTCATTTTATTAAAAATAAAATATAAATCTTTCTATTTTCTTTTGCATAGCATTCTGTTGAAGGCCAGTATATTACATCCAAGATATTTACAAGTTTGTAACTTGTTCTATAGGGACGTTTTTAATGATTATTTTCAGAGAATTATTTCCTTTCTTTTGATTTCCATGATATTTTTTTTTAGTTTCTTTCCTATACGTATGTAAGGAGAAAATGTGTAGTCGTGCGTCGGAAAACGGTGATTTTTGGAAAAAGCTCTTATTATTATATATAGAGTAAATTACTTCCTCTCATCACGTATTGTTGCCAGAATCCATGTTTCCTGGGCTCCTCTGTCCCCCTCGGCCGGCCTCTGGACGCTCCTGGGCGGCAAGGCTTCCCTCTCGAGCGACGTGTGCTGGCTGGCGGACTCACTGGCTTGCTGACTCGCTGATAGCTCGACTGACTGGCTGACGGATCGACTGATTGGCGGGCGAACGCCCGCAGCCCCTGAAGAAGCGGGGGGATAGCCTCGTCTCGAGGCTCCCCTACTCGTTGGCTGCTGTCTTGATCAGCGAGCTCGTCGACGGCGACTCTGGCCGTGGAAGCCTACAACGTCTATTATTGTGATAAGTTATGTTTCCAACAGTAAATATTTGGTCAACAGTATAAATATTATTAGGTATTAGTGCACGTTGGCCACATGCTAGAGTGCATTTTGTTATATTTTTATTGGGATTGTAAAATGATGGAATTCATAAAAACTATTGGATATGTACTTTTCAAAGCACATTTTCTACACACACACACACACACACACACACACACACACCGACACAAGCACACCACCACACCACATATATATATATTTACTCTATCATATATATAATATATATATATATATATAACACATATATACCGTATGTTGGGGGCGCGCCTCCTTCTCTGTGGGTCTAGCGGCAAACCGTTCGGCTGATATTTTCCAAAACGAAGTATTCCCGATCGATTAAAATGAAACTCGAGGTCCTCTGAGGCTTGAAACGAATCATTTTGATTGGGGGGCGGGGGCTTTACATATAGCCTAACAGCATTGTTAAAACTTTCTCCGAATGTTTGTATTAAATTTTGTCCTCTGATAGCGCGAAGCACGCTTAAGAGAATGGTGCAGGTGTCAGTTTCATTGAATTCACTGAATTTTCGGAGATTGCATACGTTCACATTTTTTCGAAGTCTTTCTACAACCACAATATTGAAGATAGAGATAACTTCCTGAATGAAATATGGTCTTTAAAGGAAGATCTTTAAATAATGTCGCACATTTTTTCCAAAATAGTAGTTTTTATGTAATTTGCCTGAAATGTAGGCAAATTTTAATTTTTTTAAACTTTTGCGCAATTTGTGCTTGAAATTAATGTAATTTATAAACAAAAATTCTCAAAAGCTACTCGAAGTGTTTTCTTTACATTTTTTCCACGGACAGAATAAGGAAGGATTAAAAGAATGTACATGCCTCGTTTTCGTTGAACTTATTTCGTTGAACTCGTTTCGATAAATTTTCCAAAGTTGCAATATGGGAAACAATGTGAGAACGTATGTGCTGTTGTAGCTTATCTAGTTTTATTTATTCATAACCATGTACTAAGGTCACGCGGACTATTCAAATGCCCCTCTCCAATGCAATTGCTGATTTCTTCTCGAGGTGCGTGTTTTCCATGCTATTTTCTCTCTGCTCATTTTATTACATGTGTTTGCTCGGAATGTGAACGGCGAACATGATGTTGGAACTGGTGTGTCACTGGGTTGGAAATGCTGTAGGATGTGCGGCTTCTCTCGAAAGCGCTGAGAGCAGGCGGCGGCGCGCAACGGCGGGCGCCGAGCGCAACGCCACTGCCGCCCACCGCCCCGGGCGACGCTCGCCCACTTCGATCGCGTCGAGATGGACAATAGCGGCGGGCGCGTAGGTGCTTGCGCTCTCCAGGTGGGACCTCGAGCGCTGCTCCGCCAGTGCAGAAGTCTAGTTTCCAATTTGCGGCTCTTGGCTGTGTCGTGTTGTGCCGGTATGCGCTCTGCCGATCGCGGCCATACAGACTCCCTGAATAATGACATTTACACATGTTAATGACCCATTTTTTAGAACAGACCTACGTTTTAGCGTTGCTCGATTCCCTTCAGTCGCGGGCAAATCCGAAACATCTGAACAATTCCGTGTTTCTAATAATAACGGAAATATGGATAGGAAACGAAATCACCGGTAATGATTTTACTCTTGTACGAGGAGCGTTCAACATTACACTCTTTGTCAATTATTTTTATAAGAAATGGCGTGGACGCTAATCACAGAAACGATCTGTATGTACTCTATCATAGAAGTCAGGTACCGAAAGGATTGTGAAAATGTAAATCGTTCAAAATGGCACTTCGAAATTTGCTGTTACTATTTCGTTTACGAAAACTACAGATTTGTCCATGGAGGAAACTCGACACCACGATTCACGATCACTCGTCGTCAACAAACATCGACCGTGTGTATTTGTTTACATCTGCTGTACGCGTATTGAGAATGCTGTGAGGTTCACTGTTTGCTTTGACAGTCTATGTGTAGGCAACCGGTCATACATCGGTGCATTGCGCATTGGCCGTCGCGGCGTCGGTTGAGCCGCAAAGTGACACGTAACACCCAGTTCTCCCCAACTTCAACCAATGAAACAAAGTTGATTTTTAATTAAACTTTATTGCGTATTTATTCACTCAGAGTCGAAATTCACCAATTCCAAGTTGTAGTGTTTAAAGAAAAAATCAAATTACATGTATTCCGTCAATTGAAGGGACCAATAACTCCAGCATCCAAGATTGTAAACAAACTTTATTTCTCTAAATACAAGCAAATTACTATATGAACATTATATTCTTGAATCAAAAAAATTCTCACTTCCCTGATCACCGCTTCTTTTTGAAGGTTATTAATCGGTAAACAGTTTTAGAATTTCACGATATGACTCTAATTACGCAGACCTCACTTAAAATCCACACAAATTGAAATACTCGTCTACAAAAAATCAAAATCAAAGAAATTATATATATTTTAAAAAAGGAAGTGACTGCTTGTCTCACAACAATAGGCAGCAAAATACAGTAACAATCGATATTTGATGGTCCTTGTTTAATCGGAACTTCGTTAATATTAGTTTATGCAATTAGTTTATATATTAAGTTATTATTTCATGAGTACATATATTCAAATTTGTACGAATGCAATAAAGCAACATTTTAGACGAGTTGAATACACTATTTTTTGTATAACAGCATTATAAATTCATGAGAGAATCAAACTTATTTTTGCGAAACATCTTTCTCGTTATGTCTCAGGTGTTTGAGAGCTGTGCATGGAATCGGTGGTGAGCTGTTTCGTGTACCTTCACGTACCCACGATTCTCTCGCTGCAATTGGCTGAACGTGTGATGCGCAATCATTTGTGGCGTAAAATGCTAATACGTTATTTGTGCCGTAAAAATCCCGATTATGAACGATTTCTTGCAAGAGAAAAGGTCGTTTATAATGCTGGTATGCATATATATTATGTATATAATCTAATAGAAACGAAAATTTTTGAGATAGGTTTCTCCAAAAAAAATGATATTAAACCGTACCACACTCAAGTTGAAGTTTAACATATCAGTCGACATAAATGAATTTTCATATAGATTTTGAACACTCAGATTGATTTATTACACTGATTGACAATGATTTTGTTAAATGGCTAATTGTTACTTTTATGTAATTTGCTTCGCAAACGCTGAATACAACCATAAAAGTTGCCTACTGGGCTGAGATTTTGTGTAATCGTTCAGTTTTTGAAATGCCACGACAGTGTGTAAACCATCCAAACAATTTCTGTTTTAAGTGTAATGGGTAACGTTGAAGAGACAAAGGAAGAATATTCCTTTGACAAGAAAGGCATTTGAATTGTATTTCAATATCGAATTGTATTTGCTGTGCGTCTTGTGAAACATTGCTTAGTGGTTGGATTAACGGAAATTCGTGACATATGCCATTTTCGTTTTTCTGTATTACCAATGTTGTTGGAATCACGAGTAAGATCAAGAAAACCATTCAATATCACAACCTTCCGTCCTTCAGCTATAAGGCCTGTTACTCAAAGCGACGACGTTACAATCCCAGCACCACCGGTCAATTGGAGTTTAAATTCCGAAAACTCTGCCGATGAAGATTTAAACGTAAGTTCCGAGGACGGCATTCGAGACTCAGTTTTCGGCGGAACATCTTCAGAGGCTCATAGAATCAATCAGTCGGCACTGAATGATCGAATTCGTCATCGAAACTTTCAAAGTATCATGCAGACTTGTTGGCGTGCCGATTGAAGGGTTGGAACCTCTTTCGGAGGGAACCATGATTATTGTGTATTGGCGATGGGAAGACCTCCAATACCTATTCTCCGAAGAAGACAATCTAGTGTATTAAACTGATATTGACGAATTTTCCAGGGAGTTAAGGTCCTAAGGTCCATCATGGTCCTAAGGAGTGTAAGTTGTTTACAGAATCTTCAATACTCATTCTTAAAGCCGTGCTTTAGATTGTGCGTCATATTGAAAATGAGAGAACAACGGTTCCTCTTGCCCATTCAGCCCGTAAGGAAGAAACGTATGACACCATCGAGCTTTTGTTATCAAAGATACAATACCAATATCATGCGATAAATGTATGCAGCTATTTGAAAGTTATTGCAAATTTTGTTACGTTTCCAACAAGGAAATTCTAAATTTTGTTGTTTTCTATGGAATTAGGATATCAGAGATCGTAAAAATCATTTTATGAAGAAGCGCTGGCTGCAACGACATCTAATACCTGGAAGGAAATGTAAATTTGCAACTATTTGCAAATCCTGCACATCTATATCTTTCCCCCTGGTTCATCGAACTCGAATTAATGAAAAATTTTGTGAAGGCGATGGATAAAAGTGACCCAGGTTTCCTGAACTCAAAGAACAGATTACCGACAATCAGGGAGGCGCATACAAAGATAGTATATTTGTAGGTTCGCAAATAAACGAGATTATCAGGGATCATGACTTTGATGGAAGTTTAAATGGTGTTGTGAAGGCTGCACGGACGTTGCTTCAAAAAATCTGAAAGCAGAATTCCTTGGTAACAGAAGAGTTGGGAACTTTGAAGAACTCCGAACTCTTTCACAATTACCAAGATCTGGGATGTAACATGTGCATTAAAATACATTTTCTAGATCACACTTAGACTTTACATTTCACACTTAGATTTCACACTTAGACTTTATTCTGAAAATCAACTTTCAGAATATTGCTGGACTCTATAAAAGGGCTGTTCCTCTAGCGAAATATAGAAAACAATCGTTTAAAACTACATTTCAATTGTGATTATTATATCTAACAATAAGGTGACTAAAACTAATCACTTTACAACAGTATGACCTTTTTAATTGCTTATTACAAAGAAACCTTGCCTACAAATCAATGTTCTGCAAATTGGAAATCAGAGCACTATATTTCATAAGAAACAGATATGCTATTCTATTTCACAGACAAAAAGTTAAATTTTGTTGACCAGTGTTATTAGTTATTTCGGGCGCATCAACTACAAAAGGCCATTAATCACGTGAGGGAATTGTATGTTTTGCTGAGTAGTTGGCGGTGATCTTCCCCCGCTGTATCGCGAGATCCGACGTCGACTGCCCGTCGGCTAGCTTTGAATGTGATAATTAAGGTGAATGAATGTAATTCTTATGTTTTGATTATAATTAAATTTGTATATATTGTTTAAACAAACCATATTTGACATTTTAAATATTATTCGCACACAAAATTAAATTGCCATCAAATCACAAACAAGTAAATACAAACATAGAAAAAGTCAAATATATCTTCAGAAATAAAAAAAACAGTTAAGAGGCAGAAGAAATATTCTTAATTGTTTTACTTATAATTTACAATTACGTATAATTCCAGTTTTTCTGAGAAATTATTATATCTTCTGTTAACTATTATATATTTCAAACAGGAAGAAATTTGTTTTACATTTATACTAGTCAGTGTGCCGTATATACTAGTCACTCTGACGTACGTGTGCACGCTATTAAAAGCGGTCAAAAACTGCGGTCATTCTATCTTGTAACTCGCAGGGCAACGATTGTTCCGAGAAAATCGATGAATTTGAAACGCAGTGCAGCATGTCACTAAGCCTCGTGCCCGGTCAAATATGATTCGCACATGCCGTCTCGTGTTGGTAAGTGTAACAAAGATTGACATAACATATATATGATCCTTTTGGGGAGATAGGTCCCGAACATCGCGTTTGCTGAGCGGCCGCAACCAAAGGTCGTGGATCCCTGTTGCAATCATCACTCTAAAGGCCAAAACTGCCTTGTCGCTGCCGTCTTGACATTCGGTCTTCCGCTCCTTTTCGGGCTTCCGCGTCTTTTTCATACCTGCATACTGCAATAACTCAGAACTTTTAATTAGACAATAGGCATTATGAAAGGTAAAGACGCTGATAGGGCAACAAAATGCAGAATTGCAGCACTCGCTCTTCACAGACCACCCGAATGCACTGCTGGGTAATGTCAAAACTATTTTTAAAATGAAAACGTAAAAACATTAAAACAAGTTGATAATATAAAAAATATATTTTATGCAATAAAACTATGAATCTTAGAAATTCGTCCAGTAAAATCCCAAAAGGTGCAATTTACAGGCGGCATAATCTAAAACGTACAATTTCGTGCAAAATAAAACAAGTACTAAAATAACGTTCGTTTTATGATTCAAATTTCTGTCAAGGTTCCATCCAATTTCAAGTTAGCAAAGAAAAGATGCAGTAACGCGGGAATCCGGTCTTTACTTATGATTCCTCTCCAAAATGATTTGATTTTTTTAAGTAGAGGTAAAAATCATCAGATAGGTTATTATACTTAAAAACGGGAAAAATGAATTTGTTTGTTTTTACATGATGTTCTAATGCTAAAATATGTTCTGTTCGTACAATTATAAGGAAACGTATAGGACAAAAGACGGAGAATAAGAGGGTCTTGAAGAAAAAGGATA